CCAGTACCAGGAATCAGTTACATCTAATTGAGTTGTTGGTCAAAGAGGCCCCAATAGGAACCCCGAAACAACCCAGGCTGTTGTCAAGGCTATATAGAATGGTATTCACAAGCTGATAGCAAAGCCCTATTTCTGAAGACAACCCTTACACAACTCATTGAATATGGAGAAGTTCCTACATAGGGCCTTCACCCCTGTGGGCTAATGTTCTCGGTACAGGAAGGTACTCTGCATGCTAATAAAGGAGAAACATTAACACCAAGCCAGCTACAAACTTGCCAATCTACAATGTTGTCCTGCCTGCAAGATGTTCTAGTGCAATGGTGACACAAAGCTTGTGGGAGTAACTAACTGACCAATATCTTAGGTGTCTTCCGGCCCACTCCATGACATCAAATGGTGCTTGGATGACTAAGAACCAAATATAAGATAGCCCAGGGACCTACGCTAAAATCAAATACTACTGTCCTAATGACATCCTGCTATACTCATACCTCAGTGCTTTCACCACCCACCATCAGAGAGATTTCCTTCTGCAGTGAATGGGAACAAATCCTGGGACCCGCAGCCATATATTATGCAAAGAATGAGAGCCCTTGGAACTCTCAGCCCTGAACAGGGTGCCTCCAACAAACCCCTCCTCTTAGAGCTCATGGAACCCTGTGGAATAGGAGGCAGGAAGAGTTTCAAATCCAGAGGGGATGGAGGCCATTGTGACACAAGACCTTCTAAACACAGTGGGCCTGATGCACAGATGAACCTACAGAGACAGAGGCAGCATGCTTTTATTTTGCCCATTGTATCATTTTAGCATCTTTTCTTGAATGTCAAATGGCTGTAGCTATGTGCACTTGTGTTCAGATCTTTATTTTGTTCCAATAGTATGCATATCCGTTTTGTGACACAACCATGTTATTCTTATCTTGGCTCTGATGCTGACATCTTGAGATCTAGAGTGGCAATCTCCCTGAATTGCTCATGACTGTTCTGGCTCCCATTCTATTTGTAAGACTTTCCCTTGAGTGTCCTCGTTGTGCTGTTCACTTTTTAAATCCCATCTCCATTTTATGTTGAGTGCTCTTCAATCTTTTTATCTCCTTATTGAGCTGCATTTTCTAATCCGGCATTATCTTGGTTATTTTATTCAGCCTTGTGTTTGTCTTTTCTTGGGTAACACTTACGCCTTTATTTCTTTGAGTTAATTCTCTCTAAATTTTTACACTGAACTGTTTGTTTCTGTTTTCCTTAAACTCTGAATTCTTTGATAATATTTATGGTGTTTTTTTAAAGTTCTGTATCCTGGAATTAATCTGAGTAATTGTTCTTACATACAATTTCTGTAGGACAGGTGGATTGGGGGGGGGTGAGGGGGAATGGACAGTGTATACTGTCTTTGAACTTTCATATTATTTTGCAGTGAGACCCGGGCACATGGGCTTCTTGTTTTGGTTGTATGTTTGATGTGGACACAGAAGGCTTGGCTAGTACACAGGATTTGCTACTCAGTACAAGCTGGCAGTTAAAAATAATGTGCAGGTGGGTCACACCAACCTGTGCCCAGACCCTGGTTGTGGGCTCTAGGTTGAGCCTGGAAATTGAGAAGAGTTCAGGCACAGGAGGGCCAGGCAAACTCAGAAGGCTGGACCATAACACAGGATGTATGGGTCTGTCTGGCCCTGAAGTATGGTTCAGGACCAAATATCCATAGGGGCAACTGGAATTGAAAGGGGTTAAGCCAGCAAGTATAGGTATGTTACCCGTGTTTCTATAGCACACAGACAGGCTAGAGGGTCCCTGGCAGGGAATGTCTGGGGGATGGTGGGTCCTAAAAGGAGGAAGAGGGTCAGGAGGAAGTCCTGATCCTTGGCAAGCAGCCGCAGGGCTACCTGAGTTGGGAGGCTCTGTACCAGCGAGTAAAGATAGGTTACCCATGTCTTCCCTCTGTATGGGCTAGATAGAGAGTTCCTTGCAGCGAGGGTTTCAGTGTCTTGTAGGTCCAAGGAGAAAGAAGGGTCAAGAGAAGGTCACAACCCCAGAAAAGCATCCACAATTTGACCAGGCAAGGACTGTGCTTGGGTGCACAGGCAGGTTACCTGTATCTCTGCCCTATGTGGACTGACTGGTAGGTCCCTAGCAGTGAGAATTTCACCATGTCATGAGTCTCAAAGTGAAGAGAGGATCTGGAGGATGATGATCTTGTTGTTCTCCTTAGTTAATTGAAGGCTTTTCTTTGCTACTTAATAGGCCATTATTCATATTCTACTTACAAAATGGCATATGCTAATGAAGCTCTTCCAATCTCAGTAACCAGCATTATGCCTTACAGCACACATGTAGTACTGGTAAGTTCTTTGTTCCAATGTCTGGAGCGCTGGGGTGAAGGAGATAATCATGGCTGAACTATAGGGCAGAGTTGGGGAGTACACAATCATTTGTTGATTGCTCATCATGGGCCACGGAGCTTGGGAACTTTACATGCATTAACTCACTTAATTCCTACCACATGGCATGGGAGGTAGGTGGTATTATTTCCCTGTTAGTACTGAGGAAGTCAAAGCTGAGAGTACGAAGGAATCACATAATGTCACTTTCTTGATATTTAAAAATTGAAAAATCTCTTTTCAGCAGAGGGTGAAAGATTTGACTCATGCGAGCATCTCAGCTGTGTGTTGAACTTTACCAAAACCCCTGGATTCATCTAGGCCCATCCCCCTCTTTCGGATCCAGCCCTGCTAATCTGTCTTCAGTTATTCCTTTCATGGGTTGTGTCTTTCTGCTCTGGGGCCTTTGTTCATGCCAGCCTCACTTCCTGAACTGCTTTCCCTTGTCGCTCTTGACTGAGGAGGACAAGTGTTCAATAAATATTTGTGTATGTGTGTGCATTTGCTTCTTAGTGCATACTTATTAAATATAGTTAAATGTAAACTTAAATGTTAATATTATTCAAAGGCAAATATCTAGTAAAGTGCAGAACCAGCACATATACCCAGGTATGAGTTTAAAGTACATGTTCTTTCATGATGTGTCTCTGCTCATACAAATGGGTTCTTGACCTAATACTCACTCCGCTGGCTACATGAGTCAACATATGATACTACTCTAATTATCAGTTTCCCATCTCTACAACTGGGATAGAAGCAGGCAGAGTCCAGATGTTCTGTATATAATATAGAAGAGGTTGAGAATAGAGGTCTAGGCAGGAAGGGGTCTAAATGAATATTTTTTCAATAAAACCAAGTATTGTTCCTCTATAAGAAAGGTCAATAGCTACATCAAGAGTTCTTCATACGCCTGACAACTTGACTCAAAGGTAATGTAGTGTAGTGTGTAACATGCAAGTATTGCAGTTACTTTTGCACCACTGTGCCAATGTTCCTGACATAAGCAGTGCAAGGGGCAATTTTTATATGAGCCAGCCATGCTATATGGTATGAGCACCATCAGCCACACGTTTAAAGTTAAATTCATTAAAATCAAATATAATTTATAAATCAGTCCCTTAGTCATAGTAGCCACATTTCATGTGCCCAACAGGATATGTGTGCTATTGCTTTGGAAAGCACACACACAGAGCATTTTGGTCGGTGCAGAAAGTTCATTGGACATTGCCTCTTTAGAATTTCTCAGGTCACTGTTGCTAGCTCTGGCTACCTTTGCTAGGAGTGCTTTGTGGTGGGAGACTCTTATTTGCAATGAGAGGCATCTCTGGCCCATATCCACTAAAAACCATTAGTGTTCTCCTTTAACTCAGTCCCGCAGCTGGAACCTGCACTGCCCTTTGCAAACATCCCGAGGCAATAAAATTTATCTCACTTGCAACTCACGGAGTTTTTCTGTTTAAAAAGAATCTCCTAGCTTGATGTGGGATTCCCCTCTTTATGCTGTGAATGCCATTGCTTAATAAAGAAACTGGCTTTGCCTGATAGGGTAGAACAGAGCTAGGCAGGGAAAACTAAACTGAACGCTAGGGGAAGGAAGGCAGAGTCGGAGGAGAAGCAATGGAGCCGCAGCTGGAGACATGCACAGAACCTTTGCTGGTAGGCCACAACCTCATTGTGGTGCACAGATTAATAGAGATGAGTTAAATTAAGATGTAAGAGTTAGCCAATAAGAAGCTAGAGCTAAAGTTTCTAATTATTCACCTGCCCCAATAACCATCGGTTACTTCCCTGATGAAAGGTCTTGGAGATTATTCCCAGATGGTAAATTTTAATGAGAACTGAGTTCTCCTAGTTGGTTTAAATTGGCATTCGTTTAGAGTACCTTTATGCGATAACTCCTTTGAGCTCCAGATTAGCCACAAGTGTGTTCTTTCATGTCCTCGATTTATAAATGAGAAAGATGGGGCACAGGTTGATTAGAGAAACTGCCCAAGATATCATGAGCAGGAGGGAAGCATATTTACATCCCATGTAAAGGATAATTAACATCCCCTGAGCCCAGTAGTCAAGTGGTAGGATCTGAGATACTAGAGAGGAATTTCCGGTTTCCATCTTGGAGAGTGTGCCCTATGTCAACAATAGCAATGTGTTTTAATTTTCAAATACCAAAGAGGAAAAAGAGTTCAACACCACCAGTAATTTAGATAACTATAACACAAAGATTTAATACTATAAATTATTACTGTGATTTTTATATTGTTATTTTTCTTATTCAGTAACCACAAAACAAGCATTCTTTGATTAAGTCCAAACATTGGCAAGCATCTGCTAAATAAAGAATTTTTCATATATCAGTGAAAAAAAAGAAGCTAGAGCTAATGGGCCAAGCAGAGATTTAAATAATACAGTTTTTGTGTGATTATTTCAGGGCTGAGCAGCCAGGAACCAACAAGTGACTTCCCTATAACACTAACTCTTTCTGAGATGGCTCTGATCTTCTCTTGTCTGTGAAAGCGAGGGTTAGAAAGATAGCTTAGAAGGAAAGGCCTAACTCTGCTTTCCATTTCTGTCTTCCTCCATCCTCCTACTGGCCTGTTTCCTGCTCTTGAGAAATTTCAGGAACAAGACTCTGCAGATGGAAAAGATCAAGGCCCGTTTGAAGGCTGAGTTTGAGGCACTGGAGTCAGAAGAGAGGCACCTGAAGGAATACAAACAGGAGATGGATCTCCTGCTGCAGGAGAAGATGGCGCACGTGGAGGAACTCCGACTGATCCATGCTGATATCAATGTGGTACGTGGCTGGCTGGCTGCCTGTCTCTGGGCTCGTTAAGGATGAGCAAATAGAGGATGTTGTTACCTTTCATTTAGATGTCACTGTGGCTACTTAGCTCAGAGGAGAGGGCTATGGAGTAGAAAATTCCAGAAGTTCTGAGGCCAGCTCTGATTATGTCACTGACTAACAACAATGGACAAGTCCTTTATTTCTGAGCATCGTATTTTCTCCCTGTATTATGAAAGGCCAACTGACCTTCGAGGGCTCAGTCCGTTCTGACATGTTCACATTCTGGAATTCTGCAGCTCAGGAAGTAGCCAAGGAAAAGTGGACTAGATGCCTGCCCCTTGAGGGTAGCAGAAAATGCTCAAAAGCTCCCAATAAGACCAAATCCATCCTCTCTTTCTGCTTACCAAAGTGGGGCTCTCTCATTAGACGGCCATTTGGAAACTTTTAGAATACTGTGACTAAATTGCCAAGCTGACAAGTTCCCTTGTTTGGAGTTACTCGCTAATAGTCTAGGCTTCTTTACTGGGTATTCCTTTATCAGGAAGTGGAAAGGGTTCACCTGTGAGATCCTTTCCACTCCTTAGAGCCTATGACATCTTTTTCTAAAATTCGTTTTTGATGGAGCTAAGTTTCTCTTCTTGGCAAACTCATTTCTGGGGGATTACTACTTTTCAGAATGTTGTCAGGCCTAGAATCCTTAAAAATACATAAATGAGGCTGTGTAAGATCCTTGGGGTCTTATGTGTTAGAGAGCATAAGATTCTGGGTCTCCTGGAGGGAACTGATGATGTAGAATCAATAGAAAGAATCACATTTTTTTTTTCGATAGAGGGGTTGAGAATCCAGGCCGGTAGATCTCAGACTAGAGCATGAGGGTCAGCTGGAGGGCCCATTAGAGCCCAAGTTGTTGAACTTTACTCCAGAGTTTCTAGTTGCATATGTTAGGTAAGGGATTGAGAATATGCAATTCTTAGTTCCTAAATGCTAATGCTGCCACTGCAGCTGCCTGCAGGGCGTGTGGATGGGGTGGTGGGTGGAAGTGTGGCGACCAGTTTGAAAACAGTTGACCTAGGAAAAATGTAACTGGCTTGGAAGACGTTAAGTCTTCCGTTTCTGTGTTGGTTTTGTTCATAAGGATCTCCGTGAAAGCTGAAGCTTCTTTCAGCTCACTGACCTCTACAGTAGACTGCAATCCAGGTGAGGTGAGCTAGATGATCTTTAAAGGCAACTGCAGTGTGGAGGTGTTAGTAATTTGAGTAATTTGACCACGAGTTTATGAGCTGTTACTCCGTTCACATGAATTCAATCATCGAACCTTTACTAAGACTGCATGGGGTGTGCACTATTAAACTTTCACTATCATAGTGATGAAGAAACCGAGGCGTGATCCGCCATGCAGAAAAGACATAGTAAACTTGAACATAGATTGGTTTCCCTCTGGAGTCTGTGCTATTATGTGTTCAGTTCTAAAACGTCTTTGAGAACTTTGGGATCTTTTCTGTTTCTACCCTGCTCTATTTTCCAGATGGAAAACACCATTAAACAGTCTGAAAATGACTTAAACAAGTTGCTAGAGTCCACCCGGAGGCTTCATGATGAGTATAAGCCGCTGAAGGAGCATGTGGATGCCCTGCGCATGACATTGGGATTGCAGAGGCTTCCTGACTTGTGTGAAGAGGAAGAGAAACTCTCATTGGAGTAAGCTGCCTGCCCTCTGACCCCAAAATAACACAATGTAACAGAAGGGAGGGGAGAGGGGGAGGCCACACAGATGGACATGGATATTTACATGGCTCGAAAGTCCGAGTATATAGTCTAGTCCTATTCTTAGGCCTGCTGGTGACTAATTCTTTGCATGACCTTCTTCAAGTCTCTGCTGACATAAAGAGCAATGAGGAGATGAAGTTTAATGGGTGACTCTTTAAAAATGCTTTGTGCAGTTTTTGACAATGTAAGAATTTTACCTATGCACTGGCATGATAGCTCAGGGAGTAAAATGGCTTTCCACCAGCCCTGGGGACCTGAGTTCAGTTCCTGGGACCCATGCGGTGAAAGGAAAGGATGAATGCCTGCAGGCTGCCCTATGACTTGTGTCCTATGACATGGTAGCGTCATGTGCCTGCCTGTACATACACATGCACAAATAAATAAATTTAATATAACATTTAAAATAACTTACCTATGAATTTTAAAATGTCACTTTCCAAGTTAAGTCTAGAGGAGTATACAAAAAGGATGTGCTTCCATTTTTTCCAGGATATGGCCTGTTCTTTAATCTCAAGACCCAGAGTTAAAAACTAGGCTCATTTTAAAGACAGAGTTCAGCCCAATAGGAGGGAGTATATCCTAAAGTTACAACTGGATTCCTGTAGAAGCAGTGAGCTTCCTATTCCTAGAAGGATATAAATCTAGGCTTGGGAATGCTTGGTCTTAATATTGCAAGTGACCATCAAATAGACAATGGGTCTAAATATCTTGCTAGCCCTAAGATTTCTTGATCATCTGCATCTATCAGAGTTAAGAAGAAAAGTGTCTATTTTCCTACTGATCATGTGCCTAGTACTAGGGGGAAGGACCCATGTGCTATAGGGAGGGTAGTGCCATTCTAGAGAAGATCCTAGTACAATTTTTGGTTCCTTAGCATAGAGGGGCAAGGTTCTTCTTGCTTTCAGAGTGATCCAGCCAGTGTCTTTTCATCCCCAAAGTTACTTTGAGAAGCAGAAAGCGGAATGGCAGACAGAGCCTCAAGAACCTCCCATACCTGAATCCCTCGCTGCTGCAGCTGCTGCTGCCCAACAGCTCCAAGTGGCTAGGAAGCAGGACACACGGCAGACAGCCACCTTCAGACAGCAGCCTCCGCCTATGAAGGTGGGTAAGCTAGACTGGACCACAGAGGAAGCAAAGTGTCCTGCAATGGGAGGCTGACGAGATGCCGCTTGAGGTTGTGGTCTGATTTATTTTAGATCTTACTTAAACAATGTTTGATTGGTACACAGAGGATGGGATGCTATGTTAAATCCATGTTGCTGCAAATCCCCAGAGAGATTAGAGTACAAGAAGCCTGGCAGGCCCTAGTAAAATAGAAATTTCTAAAGGTTAGAAAGGAAATTCTTATACAAATACATAGTGAACATATCTCATTAGTGAGGGATTCAGTAGGATCACAAGGCAGGTTCTTAGTGCATTTGGCGAACAGATGTTTACATGGTTGGAAAGAACACTGAAATAAATTTGGAAGTTTTATGTCTTCTAGAGACATAAATGTAATACCTTTAGGATTACCTTTCCTTCCCACTAGAATTAATTTGCATTTCTATTAGGTCAAAACTGTTTATGGGTTTCCAGTGAAGCATCACAGAATTGGGTCAATAGTAACTAGTCAAGCAGACGTTTTACTAGAGTGGCTTCCCAGTAGACCATAGCCTACAGGTAGTCTGCCTTGTTATATGCTTTCATTGGCAATTTACTGGTGCACACACATGCCAGGTGATTTGTGTGTTGTATTTTTTTTTTTTGGTTTGGTTTGAGACAGGGTTTCTCTGCATAGCTCTGTCTGTCCTGCAATTCACGCTGTAGACCAAGCTGACTTGGAACTCAGAGATCTGCCTGCCTCAGCCTCCTGAGTGCTGGGATTAAAGGCGTGCGCCACTACGTCCAGCTTGTGTGTTAGATCTTAACAGAGTTGAATAATTGCAACAAACCACTTAATGTGAAAAGTCTAATATATTTATGGGCCACCCCATGACTCAGGATGTAGAAACACTTACCATGTGAATGTTATGAACTGAGTTTGATCCCAGCATCCCATGGTAGAAGGAAAGAACCAATTCCCAAAAGCTGTTCTAGGAGAGAACTGCAAAGTTGTCCTCAGACCTCCACACATGTTCTGTGGTACATGCACACACATCTCTTCATTTCGTCTCTCTCTCTCTCTCTCTCTCTCACACACACACACACACACACACACACACACACATACACACACACACACACACACACACACCACCCAATTTTAATTAAAAATACCCTTTAAAGTCTAAATATTCACTACCTTGGTCACTATAGAAAAATGCTTGCTAATCCATCTCGTCCAAGACAAATCGATAGTACATGGGAGAGCTGGTTAGAGATAATGTTCTGATATATTGCTGCATAGATATATAGTTCTTATTTTATTTCCAAGTTTTACATGCAGGTTTTATACACCTCTCTCTATGTTATATCTTTCGCTCCTATGTTCTGTGGTCTCCAAGAACACTGGTACCTACCTGAATCTTACTGATAACTGTTCCTTCCAAATGGAAAATTGTAATTATTTTCTGGGCCCCTGAGTAGCTGCAGTCTGAACCATTGCTTAGAATAATCTGACTACACTAACTTTATTTATTCTGTCTACCCCCTTCAGGCCTGCTTGTCATGTCATCAACAGATTCATCGAAATGCACCTATATGTCCTCTTTGCAAAGCCAAGAGTCGGTCACGGAACCCCAAAAAGCCAAAACGGAAGCAAGATGAATGAAGAGAAGGTGAAGGGCTAGACCTTTGTTGATCATAAATCCTCCCATTGGCCAGAGTGATAGATGTCCTGATTTTCTAAAAAATACCCCTTCCTTCTCCTCTTGAGTCTTCTATTTAATTTTCTGGAAGAAGAACACCTCTCTCTCTTTGCTCTTCTTTCTTTCTGCTCTTGGGATATCAGGTTCAAGAACAGCTGTGGTTTGGGTGCTAATGACTGGGTCTCATGACCCCTTCTCTCCCTCTCACATCTCAACTACTGTGCTGGTTTGGAGGTGACTGAGGGGTAAAGGCCCTGATGGACTCTTTCTCTTGCTCCCAAGGACTGGAGCCTATTGGGCTGCAGGGTGTACGGACTGGAGGAGGTCCATATCTTACTTTAAGAAAAGGCCTCAATGATGTCCTTCCCTCTCTTTTTGCCTTAGGTTCTGAAAGGACAACTACTTTATTTTTGCCAGACTTCCCAATGGGCTGAATCTGTGTATCTCCCCAGTATTTAGCTCACCATTAGAGCTCAGGAGTAACTTAGACAGGTGTTCTTTCTTATAGTAATGTGTGAGGCTCTGTGTTTTGCCATGGTTCCATCCAAGTCTTCCAAGTATACTCAAGTTTTTACATACCAGACTGGGCATCTGGAGATCCCAAGATCTGTAGGTCTTTCCCTCTATACTTTTTTTGTTCTTTGCAAATCAGTAGGCATTCGCTGCAGTGAAATTAGGGAGTCAGACCCATGCTACAAGCCTCACCCTGTTCACTGCTGAAAATAGGAGGTCTGATGGCTATGGTATAGGAATTGTCTTGGATTGAGAATCCAGGAGCTGACTTTAGCTTTGTATTTTGTTTAAAAAACATCACTGTAATACCTGCCCAATTACCATCACTATCACTGGGAGGATAAAAGTGAATATGGTATTATATGAATGCCAATCATTTTATACATGTAAGTGGGTATGACTTTGTTTTCCATTCTTCCCTCCCTTTGAGTCTGTCTTCTCTAAGGTAGCCTTGGTTAAGGAAGTTATTGGTTATTCTTTTCCTGTGGGTTGTGTAGGTGACCTTTCTCCCCCAACCAAGGGCACTAAGTTCTTCAAGCCCCACAGCTGACGTCTTTATCAAAGCTAAGCCTCCTAGTCATGTTACTCTTAGACCTATGGAATAAAATCAGGGCTGACTGACTAAAAAGATATAGCTCCAGGTCTTTATCCCTGGCTGGGAGAAAAGGGAGATGTTTATCAATTTTTGTTTCTTTTTTTTAACTTTTGACTTTGAGTCACAATAATATGTGTTCCAAACATCAAAGATGCCTCTGTCTTTTTAAAGTAAGTGTTATGATTTTATAAATCCTTTTAAATAAACGTTCATTTGTTGGAATAAATGCTAATTGGGTGCATTCTGTACACTGGGCGACAACAATAACAGTAGAAAGGGGAAAATAAAAAAGATCGAGAAGGCTACAGAGATGTGGCCGGGAGCTGGGAGCACTGTGGTTGGAGATAGACAGAGAGATGGCTGGAGCAATGCTGCCTGCTGTGACGATACTGGAAGTGTAGGCCAAGAACAGGGCCCCAATACTGAGACTCACTGTGATTTTCTTAGAATAGGGGGAGGATTGTGCCCATGCCACTACCTAAGTGAGTGAAAACATAGGAGCATGGTACTAGCAGACCAAAGCCATTATTTCAGGACAGGAACTATGGTTCTTCTAGTCTTTCCACCCATCTCTAACTCAGTATTCCCTGAGCCATAGATGCAGGAGTTGTGATGTAGATGCTTCTGTTGGGGCTGGGTTCCCTACTAATCCACTGATTAGTGCATTGTGTCCAATCGTTTTCTGGGATGTCTCCAATTGCAGTAAAGAGAGGCTTCATTGATGAGTGGTAGCTATACGGGTCTGTGGATATAAGGATTGGAATGTAGTAAGGAATTATGCTAGTCTACTAGAGTGGTGGTAATAGATTCTTTTCTCAAGACCGTGATCTCACTAATCCCAGGAAGCTGGCCAGATTTCCAGTACCGGGCATGATTTTCTTCCTATTGAATGGACCTTAAGTCCAATTAGACAGCCGATTGCCACCTACATATAGTGCTACTTCGTATACCTTTATGCATAGTTTGCCGTGTAGCAATGCGTTCTTGTTGAACTATCTTTGGATCGCCAGCCCCCAAATATCAACATGGTTATCCCACAATGTTGCCATGCTGGTGATTGTCGTAGTTCATAGGTGTTGTATCAGGGTAGGACTTTCTTTTCCTTTCCTTTCCTTTCCTTTCCTTTCCTTTCCTTTCCTTTCCTTTCCTTTCCTTTCCTTTCCTTTCCTTTCCTTTCCTTTTTCCTTTCCTTTCCTTTCCTTTCCTTTCCTTTCCTTTCCTTTCCTTTCCTTTCCTTTCCTTTCCTTTCCTTCCTTTCTTTCTTTCTTTCTTTCTTTCTTTCTTTCTTTCTTTCTTTCTTTCTTTCTTTCTTTCTTTCTTTCTTTCTTTCTTTCTTTCTAATTTTTCGAGACAGGGTTTCGCTGTAGCTTTGGAGCCTGTCCTAAAACTAGCTCTTATAGACTAGACTGGCCTCAAACTCACAGAGATTCACCTGCCTCTGCCTCACAAGTACTAGGATTAAAGGCCTGCGTTGCCACTTCCTGGCCAGGGTAGGACTTTCTAACTGCTTCCCTTTTGGCATCTTGCATAGCATTTTCTGGAACCATTGAACTTAGACAGCAGGGAAGAGGCTTTCAGGTCAGATCCAGTTTGAATCATCCAAGTCCTGTGTCCTGTGTGTGTGATTTCTTCAGTAAAAGGGTGCTCACTCTAAACTCCTGAGAGGCAAAAGGGAGTCACGTGGACTATCTTACCAGTTTATTCAAGAGAGGAGTCTCATGTTTGATACCAGTGTTTTTGTTCACCTATGGTTCTTCTAAAGAGCATTTCCAGCTTAAGTACCTTAACTTCCTTTAATATGCATGTATGTGTGTGTATATATATATATATATATATGCATACATATACTTATATGCAGAGTGTATAATTTTATGTAAATCCAAAATAGTGACTCCTTGACACTTTATCAAACAACCTTGGTGTTATTTGTCTCTTGTTCCTCCTTTTTCTTTATTGACCTCCCCACCATCTCCCCAGTTGGAGGCCCTCACCATTGTTCTGTTTCCTACCACTTCATGTCATCTGTATCCTGCTATTCCCCTCCCTACATCCCTCTATGGTCCCTTTATACATACCTGGTTTCTATGGTTACTCCATATTGTGTACTCACATCTGAGGATATGTGTAGTAGGAGCTTCGGGCTGTGTTCCTGCCACCTGGCTCCTGGCCGCCTGGCTAGCTTATGCCCCAAAATAACAACACACAAACTGTATTCATTTAAACAATGCCTGGCCCATTGTATCTATCTTCTTCTTGGCTAACTCTCATATCTTGGTTAACCCATATTTAGTAATCTGTGTAGCACCAGTCTTACCGAGAAAGATTCAGCATGTATGACCTGGCGGCTTGCTCCATCGCGTCTGCCCTGGAGAGGAGAGGCATGGCATCTGCCTCACTTCCTCTTCCTCCTAGCATTCTGTTCTGTTTACTCCACCCACCTATGTTCAAACCTATCAGGCCAAGCAGTTTCTTTATAATTAACCAATGAAAGCAACAGATTGATATATGACACTCCCACATCAGATATGGAGCAAGAAACTGCAGATGAAAGATAACATGAGGCTTTCTGGTCTCTAGGTCCATCCATTTACCTGCAAATGCCATGATTTTATATTTCTTTGCAGAGTAAAGAGTAGTACTGTGTTGTGTTGAGTAGTATGCTGTGTATATGCACAGCATTTTTATTATTCATTCATCTGTTGGCAGACTTTTAAGTTGTTTCCATTCCCTGGCTATTGTGAATAATGTAGCAATGAATATGGCTGAGCAAGTGTCTGTGGAGTAAGCTGTCCACTCCTTTGGGCATATGCCAGGGACTGGTATAGCTGGGTTTTATGGTAGATTATTTTTTGTTTGCTTATCTTTGGAGGATTCTTCATAGATTTCTTGAGTGCCTGTAGCAATTTGCATTCCCACCAACAGTGAGCATTTCCTCTTCCTGGACAAGCTCTGCAGGATGTTGTCAGTTGTTTTGTTGATCTTAGTCATTCTACTAGGGTGAGAGGAAATCTCAGAGTTGCTTTAATTTGCAGTTCCCTGATCGCTAATTATGATGAACACTTTGATCTATTTCTTTGTCCTTTTTATTTCTTAAACTGAGAACTGTGTTTTGATATCTAGCCTATTTCTAATTAGAACATTTATTTCTTTGACTCTGTGTCTTGAGGGATTTTTTTTCTATAGAGGTGTAATATGTAAGTATACTCAGTTTACAAAATGAGGCCCTCAGCCACTCTTCTTATTTATTTCACCCCGTGGTGGTCACATGATAATCTAGGACAGGGCAGAAGGGGAGGACAGCTGCATAAGTGCTTTTGTGTCTGGAGAGGCTGCAGTGCCTGGCCCTCGGGCCCAACAGTTCCCACCCAAGTAACTGTCCAGCCAGTGGTCTGGAACCCTGAGGCTGTGGTAACAGGTAAGCTGACAGGCAAGTTACAGGGCCCGGCGCCCTGTTTCCAGGAGCATGCTCTCTAGCTGCAGCTTGCTGTCACTCTATGTACGGCTAATGGAGCCACATGGACAGGTAGGTCAGGATGAGGTTGCGGTCAGCAGTGTGGGCCAGCTCAGCACCAATGGTGTGCTTCAGGAGGAGCTCCTTCTTGTATGCACTGGAGAGCCGGTGGGAGACCTCATAAAAGAAGGCCGTGGGCCATGTGTGAAACAAGGGGCCGGTTACTTTCTTCCCTGTAATGGTAATTTTCTAGTTCACAAATTCCCTTGGCGGTTGAAGACAGCTTTTCCATTTTCATTTGTATTTTAGTCAAGCCATCCAAGGTGACCTGCAGCTCCTCATATAGCGCTTCAAATTCCTTATCATATTCCAGATTCGTCTTCTCTCCCTTTTCACTGGAAGCTGGGCTGCTGCTCTCTAATTCAACCTTCTCTTTGCTCAATAAGCTGACTTCCTTTTTTTTAAAATATTTATTTATTATTTATACAATTTTCTGTCTGTGTGTATGCCTGCAGGCCAGAAGAGGGCACCAGACCCCATTACAGATGGTCGTGAGCCACCATGTGGTTGCTGGGAATTGAACTCAGGACCTTTGGAAGAGCAGGCAATGCTCTTAACCTCTGAGCCATCTCTCCAGCCCCAATAAGCTGACTTTCAAGTTGGCAATATTGCTCGCAGTGGTAAAACTGGCGTCATTGAGGCTTTCCCACTTCAGGATTAAGTTATGCCAATCAGCTACATTGTCCTTAATTTTCCTTGCACTGACAGATAAGACAGGTTCCCTGGGTGTTGCAATTCCAAGAGTCCTTGCTTCCATGCAGTGCACAGGTAGATATCAACAAGGAGACCCCAGGATTTTTTTTTTCTTTTCTGGATGTTAATCCTCTGCCAGATCTATAACTGGGAAAAGATTCTCTCCCATTCTATTGGATTCTTCTTCACTCAGTTGATTGTTGCTATACATTGAGTTTGTGTTTCATGCATGAAGTTGAGGTCTGTGCTCCACTTGGATCTAATTTTTGTATAAGACCATAGATATGGGTCTAATTTCATTCTTTTCTATGTGGACATTCAGTTCTCCGAGCCCCTGAAGAAATGATCTTTCTTAAGTGTATGGTCTTTGCCTCTTTGTCAAATATAATGGCTGTAGTTACGAGTACTCATATTTGGGTCTTATACTTTATTCCAGTGGTCTAGCTGTGCTAGTTTTGGGTTTTTGTTCTGTCTTTACTTGGTTTGGGTAGATTATTTGCCAAATAGATGTAAAAGCCAGAAATACGGAAGAGAAATTAAAACAGATAAAAATTCAAAGAACTCAAGATTCTCAATAAGAACTGTATAAAATTCTTGAATGAAAGAGCTAATCAATTGTTGTAGGAGCTGAGGGCTGTGTCCCCCCCCCACACACAAATTGTATTTTTTAAAACACTGCTTGGCCCATAAGCTCTAACCTCTTACTGGCTAACTCTCACATCTTGCTTAACCCATTTCTATTAATGTGTGTAGCACCACGAGGTCGTGGCTTACCGGAAAGATTCTAACCTGTGTTCATCTCAGAGAGGAGAGCTGTGGCGACTGCCTGACTCAGCTTCTTTCTCCCAGCATTCTGTTCTGTTTATTCCGCCTACCTAATTTTCTGTCCTATCAAAAGCCAAGCAGTTTCTTTATTTAACCAATGAAATTAACACAAAACAGAAGACTCTCCCCCATCAATCAATAAAATAGAAACACAGTTTGGCTATCGAAACAAGACCTGAAATAG